ACAATGATGTCTGCTAACGCTGTCTCCAACCAACTCGAAAATTGTTTTCTTGATTGTAAAAAAAGTGAATCACCAGAGACTTTATGTGAAATAATTAAACAATTAACGTCATTTTCTTCTCAATTAAACGCTCCAGATCAAATATCACATGAAATATTTTCTGTTATGATCACTATACTCACTCAGATACTAAATAAATGGTTAGTATCATCCGAACAAGAAATACGTTTGTTTAAATCCATAGCTGATTTGTTATCCAGTATGATAACTGCAGTCAATGAGCAAAAAACGTTACAGCATTTAAACGTTTACTCATTAATCAAGCATTTATTCAGTCAATAAGTGAGTTCCTTGAACATATGTTACCTAAATTATCCACGGTTAATTGTGACGTAATCGATGGTGTTAGTAAACTATTGTTTATATTCGATATTCTTCAATACGGCCGACCCGACATAATAGACGATAAAAATCTATTAACACTACTCGATCCAATTATGAAATATATCTGTTCAATAAATTATTTCACTATACTCACAAACTTAGAAGCAACGGAAACGCTAACTGTTCAGGAAGAATTTCTTGTTATTACGTGTCCAAATTATTTTTCACTTTATCTTGGCATATACGCTGAAAGATTAACGAATGAACTAGGTGACACAATGTTAAAACGTTTTGAACAAGTTCTATGTCAATTAACGCAAACCGTATCTAAGTGGAATGAGGCAACGATGAAAGCCGTTCAATATATCAGTTACGTCTTAAGACGATTTGGAGAATTTAACTCAACACGACAACGATTAAATGGCCATTTAAAAATTATCGATTCACTCATGATAATTTTGAACTCATCATATCTACAAATTCAGGTTCTTAAACAAGAACAGAACGTTGAAACGGCTCTTATTTATGCCGTTATTTGGGTCTTATCACCATTAGGAGACGATTTAGAGCTCACCGCTTATATCAAAACCAATTACAACACTCAAACGTTTATGACGTTAACGGATGCAAAATATAAACCGATACGAACGTATGCATATACAATATTAGCATTTGTAATGAGCGAAGATGATATTAAACAGTTGGATGATCCGGGTAAAATAACAGCGGTATTTATCGATTTTATTAAACAAGCTATAGATAGTCAATTTCAATTAAGTCCTGGTGGAAAATTAAAAAATTTATTAGAGAGTTTGAGAGGTAATATATTTTTATTATCTGCGTCAGGCAGACAATACAACTTTTCAGCTACGTTTCATGCATTGTTCGTTTACTGTGCAAGGCAACCAAAATAAGAAAGAAGGAAGAATACGCTGCCTAGGAAGCTACCGTTACCAGGGTATGGTGCTGCCAAGTGTCAGTTTTAACGATTCAATATCTTCTGTAGAAATGAGGTTGTGTGAGTTGGGGTGATCAAAGACGCTAACGAGGTAACCGTCCCAAGTGATTCACCCCGATTTAACCAAAACATACTTTTTCATGGATTATTTTTGATATTGATCACGAATCTGATATTTACCTCGACCCACAGGCTTTTCAGTAATCTTCAGAAACCAGGTCTCTGGAGATCCATCCTGAATAATTGAATGAAGAAGTTCTGATATGGCTGATTTGTAGAGCAAGTCAAATTACACAGGTACGCAAGTTTTCACATATACCGAACAAGCTCTCTCACAGATACAAAATTTCTACTTTCATCGCATGTGAAAATTAGCTACCATGTCTATAATTTTCACAAGCACTAAAAATAAAAAAAGTATTATAAACAATTTACGGCTGAGTTTTCTCATCACTAGAGAGCAATTAAAGACTTTTTAGGAATAGATAGCCCACGGTATGAAATTTTATTTGTTGAAAGAATTGAAAAATAAACATTTTCATTTTTTCGACAAATGCCACTCGGATGTCCACTATAAGCTAATGAAAAAGATATGAGTGATTCTGGTGACTTTTGTACCGTTCGATCTAAGCTAATGGAACTGCATGGTTCTCCGTTAACACTAAATCAAACTTTTGAAAGCTTATGCCATTTTATTCGGAACTCTGTATGTACTGCCAAGATCTCTTTTCTGTCTTATTTCCTTAGTATACAGGAAGCAAACACTTTGTTTTTGGGTTCTTTTTCACTTCTTTACTGACGAGGGAACCTTTCCAGGTGTCCGACCGCTTTTCTAACGAAATGCGGTAGTTTATAGATAATTGACCATCCTGATTCCGAATACGATAGTCGTTTTTGCCCACAAGCCTTTCCTAAAACCAGTTTTCCAGAAATCTCGAAAAATCCCCAAGAGTTTTTCTAAATAATTCACAACGGTAGCGCGTGAAATTCTGATTAAAATGAGACATCTCCCAGCTCTACACGACCTTTTTTTGCAAAGTTATAGAATTTACAAGAAAAGCCCTAAATGTTTATTACAAGGGGGAAACAGCAGATTTTGTGACTTTTGTAATCTGGGCTCCTTTCTACAGGCAATCAATTTTTTTCAAATTTTGTTGTGCTGCTGGAGACGCATTGATATTCTTCGTGACTTCGCTGAACCCGAAGAATTTTCCTGACTATTTTTGAATTTTTCCGCGTTTTTTCCGCTTAGCTCCATTTTTGGTCATTTTTACAGATATTCGAAATTTCATCGGATTTGAATCCCTTTTTCCGAGTTTTTCTTGTACTACCGGGGATTCCTCCAGTTTCTCGAACTTTGGGAAGTTTGTATAGGATTCTCCAGGCTTCTGTAGATCTGGGAGTCCGCAACTACTTGGAATTCTGCTGTTTCCCCCTTGATTTATTGTCACCTCAGAGCTACAGAAAGACGAAGGAAAGATGAATTTAGGGCTTTTCTTGTAAATTCTATAACTTTGCAAAGAAAGGTCGTATAGAGCCGGGATATGTCTCATTTTAATCAGGATTTCAGGAGCTATAGTTGTGACTTATTTAGAAAAACTCTTGGGGTTTGTCGCGATTTCTGGAAAACCTATGGAAACCGGTTAGGAAAGGCCTATGGGGAACAAAACCATTCTTGCTTTTATGCGGTAGTTTATCTGTTCTGTAAATTGCCAGTCTTAGTTTTGCCTAACCTGTTTTAGTTTCTGTGAAAACTTCGATGGACTTTATGGTCCTCGAAAAGTTCAAAAATCGTGTCCCGCCCCTTTTTAAGTCTACTGCGCAGCCAATCAGCACTTTAAGTCAAATGTTTTTACATGAAAAAGTTCATCACAGTAGGCACTGTAGACTGTTGAAAACCGTAAGTTAGTACCTTTTTTCGTTTTTGAGTAACTGACATTTTACTGACGTACAGCGGCTTGTAACATACAATTTGTCCCACCGTGTCCTTCCGCGCAGGTCCCCCCACTATTACATTCACTATTAACTGCAAAAAATTCACTTTGCCCATCGTGTAGAGCATCAAAATAACCTAAAAGTCTCGCTTACCCTTTTTTGAAAAAACTCGTGGAAAGTGGTTCGCTAGACACGTTTTGGGTGAGAGTGAAACCAAAGTCGATG